GGATGAGTCCTTCCTGAATCTTCGTTTGCGAAGAAAAGCCAGAGATGTCTGTAAATGTTGTCACTTCATAAAACAGACTAAACACAGTGCAGAAATCTGTATTGTAATTGGCTTGCATTAGAAAATGCGAAATGACTATTTGCCTGCTCCCTCATATCGGCATAAAATTTGGAGCCCTAAGGAAGGACCAAACCTAGATTTGGGCAGGTAGCTTTAGGTAAAGTGGATGGATTACTTCAGGGGTTTTTGTGCTTGGCACCTGTAGAGATTTCTAGTTTTCAAAAAACAAAAACAAAACACAACCCCACAGTTTTTAAAGACGTTGTTGACTGATCAGCCTTGGCAATTCATTCTACTTTTGGCCTAGTCCTGTTTTGCTAGTATTGGGGAACTTTGCTACCTAGAGAATCTACAACCTCTACAATTGAAGAACTGCATCAAAGAAAAGCAAAGGCAGTGCAGTACCAGACACATGGGTCCTGCCAGCCTTTGGCAGAGGCAGGCAGGCAGAAAAGCAGAATGTTAGTTTTCAGATATTTCAAACTTCTTTGGTCAAGATAGGAGGCAAAGAGCATCAGCCAGCTAAATCTGTTAAAGTTTAATGATTAGATGTTTAATGATAATGAAATGACAACTTATTTGAGGATAATGCGTTTTTGGTTTATTCTACAAGTAGTCCAATTAGTGAGATTCAGTGATGCAACAATGCCGGGGATCACTAGAGGATGTTTTTGATCCCCTTGAATTGAGCCCTCTGAAGGCATTTGTTGATGTGGGCTGACATAAGAAAATTCCTTCTCCTGACTGTATAGTTTCCGCACCTTACTTTTTCCATAGCAGCCTGCCTAAGCCTCTTGCTGGAGAAGAAAGACTGAATGCTGTTGTTTCCAGGGGATTTACTACAACACACATCATCCAAGGCCATCAAGACCAAAGGGGAGGCATGTTAGGAGCTGCATTTCAACAACATCTGCACATATTTTCCACCCGATTTGCATCATAATGTATACTGTATGCAAATAAAAAATGAACCTAAGTTGCATTTTTATTCAATGATATATCCTCATTGATTGCTGTTTTGCAAGCAGTTTAAATTTTTAATGGTCAGTTCTTGCTACTGTTCATTATATTGGTTACTGCTGTTATACTCTTGAGAAGCCAGAGACTGATTGACATTTTCTAGCATTTAGGGGAGAGAGAAAATGCTCACATTCCAGATACATCAGGCCAGCTCCTAGACAGCTTGGCCCAGATTCGAAATATATTAAACATTGCTGCTAGGATAGGCTCAAATGACATATTGGTTCATTTGACAGATAAATTGCCTGTATATGATTAGCAAAGTGTGTACGTAACAGCAGTTTCAATGTCAAGAGTATTTGAGTGTAAGAACATTCTGGCGTAGATTGCTCTTAGAATTTTGACTTTTGCATTGATTTTTGGTGAGAAGAGATGCCATCAACAAAGGGATCAACAAGCAGGCCCGGATCTATCCTGAAATGGATGGAAAAGTAAAGTCGCTGAGGAGAATTGCCTTCTGTTTAGCTTGCTTTAATTACTCTATGGTGATCATAACAATTACATATTTTTTTCCCGGTATTTTGCAAGGACTGCATTGCCTTTTTCCTGACTGCACAACAGCACTCAAGACAGTCCCAGGGCCCATCTACAAAACTAGTCAGTGGCGGTAGGCTTGGGGAGGAGGACTTTATCCCCAAACTAGCTGACTGTTACTGAACAACTGGGGAATAGGAGGACAATGGTTGCTTCTTCTTCTCTGGCTGTCCAGTAGCAACCAAATAGTACTAGGGGGAAGCTCCTCCCATGGGCAGTGGTTAGCAATGGAAAGGGGGAAAGTGTCATGGTGGCATTTACTGGTTGCTGGCATATAGGAAGAATGAGCAGCCATCACATATCAGACTTCCAGTGCAATGACAGTAGTAGAGCTTTATGCTCCACCAGTGTTGCATAGGTTTATGTTTGGCTAGTGAACATGCTCAATCCTTATTGGGCTATTTGGGGGTTCACGATCTCACTGTTTTTTCCTAAATATTTTTTTTGTACCTCTGGAAACTTTGGGTTTTCCCCCAACTATACTTTCCACTTATGTATGGAAGCTGCCATTTTGTCCCCATAAAGATTGCTTCTTGAATTCACTTTTATTGTTTGCATTTTGGACTATGACTCTGGGGACCAGAGTTCAAATCCTGCTGAGTCGTGAAACCTACTGGGTGACCTTGGGCAAGTCATACACTATCAGACTCAGAGGATGTCAGTGGCAAATCCCTCTGAAGAAATTTGCCAAGAAACCCCTATGATAGAGTTGCCATAAGTTAGAAATGACTTGAAGGCACACAACAAGATAAATGGTATATCCTAATCTCTATCTCTATGCCTAAACAGAAAAACATCTATGACTTTTGAAGATCAAAATATGCCAATCAGAAAATAAATCTGAAAGTTGGCATGGAAAATAGGGCATAGGAACTGTCTTAAAAAAAATCTCTCATCATCTAATGCATTTTGTGGAAGATTTGGTGTCCCATATCCTGAACCTGTTGATATATCCTATTCCAGTTAATGCTGCTTGGAGTTATTACAGATGGGAAAGTTGCTTTGATAACATTAATATACTTCCATTACTTGTCCCTGTGGTAAAATCTGTAGTAAGTTTTCATGACCTGTCACTGTTTTTTGAAAGTAGCTTGTTGCATTAATATTGAATTACTAGGAGTGGAAAGCGTAAAAAGGACCTGGGCCATCATAGTGACCTACAGCTATTGGTAGCCGATATCCTCAACTTGTTTGAATTTTGAAGTTACCAGAAAGTTACTTTTTGGGTTCCTTTGGTCATTAACCAAGTTCAGGATACAAGCTTCTAAGGGCTTGATTGGCCAATATGTTTTCACAGTTCTTCTTTCAATATGGCAGCAGTGGGACCACAGTGGATTCCATGGAGAGCCACAGGTAGCTTACAAGCACCACTTTGCATGTGTTGTTGTGTGCCTTCAAGTCATTTTGGTCTTATGGAGACCCTAAGACATCCCTGTCATTGGGTTTTCTTGGCAAGATTTGTTCAGAGGAGGTTTGTGATTGCATTCCCTTGAGGCTAACTAACTGCATGTGCCTTGCCCAAGGACACCCAGCGGGTTTCATGGGCGAGTAGGGAATTGAACCCTGGTCTTGAGTTGTAGTCCAACACTCAAACCACTAAGCCACACTGGCATACCCTCACATTATTCATTACCTTTCATTGCTTTTTGTGGTCATTTTTTTAAAGAACTGATGAGAGAATGGCACAAAACATGAGCAATTATATTCAAAAGGCCAAATAAAAATCCCTTTGATCTGAGACTAGAAACAGTAACAAGAAACCAATTACTCCGATCTTGCCAGAAAAAAAGGTTACATCACCCCACCTTTATGACATTGCTTTTCAAAAGTAACTTTATTGCAACTTCATTACAAAAAACCCCAACCCCATCAGTTAATGGTGTGACTCCTAAATCTCACGGTGAGTCCTTTTCAAAGTGGATTTTGAGCTCCTCATCCCAGTTCCAAAGGACAAACGAATGGTACAGCTTTTACCATTCACTCTGATCTTTCCCTTTCCTCGACTAGTGAAGCACTAACTGTGGACTGCTCTTTCCTTGATGGATAGAGCTGCAGCAGTGTTTCCTTCTGTAGCCTGGAGTGATGTCCACCAGTTCCTCCTTAATTAGCTTTTGCAGGAGGGCAAGCTCTAAGGGCGATGAGCAGCAACCTCTGCTGTTAAGGAAAGGGCCTCCACAGCTTGAAACCAGTGCTTTTTACAGGCTTGGACAGATGGAAATGCCAGAGGGTATATAAAGCCCTTTTATTCATCACGTAGTTGGTCATGCATTGTAACCTGAGAAGTGCAATATGGTTCCTGTGGAAGATCTGAAATACTGAGGTCCCTAATGAAACTAGCATGCATTTATACCCTCTTTACAAGTGCCAGTCTCATTATACATTGTCAGAAGCACACATTTAACACCGTCCCCTTGCTTTTTCCATCTCACAACCTTCTCCCAATAATGAGGCCTCTGAAATGTTTAATGTATGGCATGGTGCGAACAGTGTTCTCTACAACTGTGACCTTTACAATTCTCCACCCTTGGATTGACTGGTCATTACTGATTCCCCCATTTAGAATCTGAAAGGCTGTTCAGGGGAATCTGGAATAAGAATACTTTTTAGAAAGTGTTTTGGTCTGTGATTTTGTGGGTTTTGTTGTTGTTGCTGCTGTTGGTGGTGGTGGTGGTGGTTGGGTGCTTGGAGCAGAAAAAAGGATGCAAGCTGCATAATGATGTGAGGTCCACAAATATAAATCACAGAACCAAGACTGGCAGAAAACATAATTTCAGTCTTCAGAATCGGTTAACAATTTGTACAGTAGACCCAGGTAAGGCCAGCCTCAGGGCTTTAGCTACAGGGGAGGACAAAATAGATACCCTCCAACATTTCACATATGAAAAGTGGGACACATGTGGCCAAGCAAAATCAAAGTGTGGTCAAGATGGCAAAAGGTATTAATAAAGAAAAACACTGAAGCTAGAAGAAGCTGCAACAGTTTGCTTTTACCTGAGTGTACTGGAAACCTTCCACTACTCTTCTCCTCTCCCCTTCCTGAGTTAATGGAGTACAGTCAGCACCCCCATTTCCACAATTTTTTTTATCCATGGATTCAACCATCCATGGTTTGAAAATATTCAAAAGAAATATAAATGCCAAACACATACCTTGGTTTTGCCATTTTATATGGGACACCATTTAACTATGCCAATGTGTTTAATGGGATTTGAGTGTCCACGGATTTTGGTATCTACTGGGGTGTGTGTGTGTGTGTGTGTGTCCTGGAACCAAGCCCCAGCAGATACCAAGGGCCCACTGTATAACCTGCTTTTGCACTCTGAACACAGTTTGCAGCAGCTGAGGAGAAAGGGAGAAAGTGGGAGGAAGAAGAAATTGACATTTTAAAAGCAGCTGAAAAAGTGGGACGACAGGGGAATTATTCAGGACTGTCCCTGACAAATTGGGACAGCTGAATAGTGTGAAAATTATGGAAATTCACCCTATAAAAGTTTTCTCCCCCACCCCATGATATTTTACTTTAGTCCTCAAATTTCTAGCATTACAGAGAGTGATACACTGAAAACCATTCACACTTAGAGCTCATATTTTCTGTGTTTGCATTTCCTGGGTCACTTTGTCTGCACCTTTAATTTGGGTGACTAAATTTGGGTTTCTAAATGCTCAAGTGAAGTTTTGAGTTGCAATGCTAGGAATTTGGGGACTAAAAGAAAATTTCGTTTGGGGCAGAATCCCTATATACAGGACCAATGTCCTCATTTTACTGCCCCGTTGCTACATCCTCATTAGATAGATTTTAAGGGTCATGGAAGGACAGCAAACGGATAACCATTTCATTTGTTGTGATTACATTTGAATTGTCTCAGATGAGGAAAGATGTGTGTGGGATTATCTGTCGCATGGGTTAAAACAACGGTTCCCAAACATTGGTCCTCCAGGTGTTTTAGACATCAACTCCCAGAACCCTCAGCCAGCTTGGCCAACAGTCAGGAATTCTGGGAGCTAAAGTTAAAATACCTGGAGGACCAAAGTTTGAGAATCACTGAATTAAAATAACACGAATTGTTCTGGGTAGTATGCACCCTTGACTTGCAGGGATGGTTACACTTGCCCTTTGGCGTTCTCCTTCAGGCAACAAAAGTCCTGCAGTTGGCCTTGGTCTCATGCCTTCCGCTGCTCCAAGAGCCCCTTCCTACCATTTTCATTTGAAAGATTAGCATCTGAAATATGAGGTTTGAAATTGCTGAATTCTCCTTAACAGTGGACTATGTAAATATTTCTTTTAGGTTTCAAATCCAGCTTCTGACAAATTGCCAAGACAATCTGTAGCCAGGAAAAGAGTGTCTAGTTGCTGGGTAAGCCTGATCTGGAAGCTCTAGAGCCAGGCAGAAACCCATGGCTGACCTGTTAAGAGTCCAGGATGTAGCCACACTTCAGAATTAAAGCAGTTTGACATCACTTCAATTGCCATTCTATTCTTTGGAATCCTGGGATTTGTAGTTTGGCTACTTTATTCATTCCACAAATCTATGAATGCTCATGCCACCAGCTTCTTTCTTTCAGTTAGTCTCAGAGGTGCTACAAGATCCCTTTACATCCTGATTTTCCAGCCTAACACGATTATGTCTTTGAATCCTTTGGTGACAGCTAAAGATGGACAAGCCAGTCAGTTTGGTTTTCATCCATATATTTAAAAAAATGTTTTTTTTAAATCACAATTTTCTGTCAGATTCACAAAGAAATATGTGAATTTTGTTAGATAAAGGTGAAGGTAGTCCCTTGACATGAATGTCTAGTCGTAACCAACTGTAGGGGACGGTGCTCATCTCCATTACTAAGCCATAGAGCCAGTGTTGTCTGAGGACTACTCCAGTGGTCATGTGGCCAGCATGACTGCACTGAATGCTGTTACCTTCCCACCAAAGTGGTACCTATTTATGTACTTGCATTTGCATGCTTTCAAACTGCTAGTTGGCAGAAGCTGGGACTAATGACAGGAGGTCTCCCTACCAAGCAGCACCTGAGCTTCGAACTGCCAACCTTCTGATCTTCTGACTGGCAGAATTGGCGTCTTAGGGGGAATGCAGGCGGGTGGCCCTGGGTTGCCCCGGGAAACAGAAAAGGCTGCCGGATGCGTCGGCCCCAATCCTCCCTTTTGCCACCTTGGAAAGGAGTGCCAAAATGACACTCCTTTCAGAGGTGGCAAATAAGCTGCCCCAAGAGCCACCGCGCGGCACTTTTGTGCCTCTTCCAGCGCAGCATGTTAAGACGCTGCACCATGATGATGTCTTTGGTTGGGGCGCCTGGTGTGTGGCGTGTGGCTGCCCCTCCTCTTCCCTGCCTCCAAGACAGCGCAAAGTGCCGTCTGTAGAGGCCCTTAATCAGTAAGCCACTGCATCCTTTTTTGTTAAGCTTTTGTGAAAGACAAATGAATGGAAATGTTCAGCTGCACTGGGAATATACAGTCAGCCCAGGTATTGCAGGTATGGAGAGGAAAATGTTGCACTATGGGCCTTTGCAGACTGCCAGAAATAGTGCAAATTGAGTCCACTTTAAGGGTTAGGGTTAGTGCTAGGGAATCATGGGAATTGTTTTTTTTTTCTGAGACATTGAGCCTTCTCTGTCAGAGAGCTCTGGTGCCACAATAAAATACAGTTCCCATGATTCCCTAGCACTGAGTCAGGGCAGTTAAAGTGGACTCAATTTGCACTATTTCTGGCAGTCTGCAAAGGCCCTATGTTAACATGCAAATATTACAGGTAAAGGATTTGGGAGCAGGGGGGAGAGAAGAAGAAACAACTTAAATTGAACACTGCAAACATGGCTGAATATACAAGGATTCAAAGCCATGGTGTTAAAATCTCAGCCAGCATATGCAAATCACTAATATCACTTTCTCCCACATCCATTTTATTTGTAAAAAATCAGGTTCTTTCGATACAGTGTATGAAGAAATATGGAAATTTGAAAAAGTTCTTATCAATAATTGAACGAAACAAAATCCTCACCCTTCTATAATAAAAGCTTGGTGGTAGTTCTAGGAATGTCAGGCATCCAGGTTAGGCCCCAGCAGTGGGATCAAGTCAAGCTTGCGAGTTGGGGAATTCTGAGAGGTTTAGTCCAAAAATGTATCTCAATCCCTATTATTATGGTGGAGAAGGAAAAGGAGATGATCCTATTGCCTGAGTTCAGCATCTTCTAAGCCAAGTATGGCTGCATTTGAACAGGAACCTTTATGTTCAGTCATGGAAGAAAAAAGAGGGCCTGAATATATGGTGGATGGGGGTGGGGGGTGGAGTGGGAAGACAAACCTTCCAGCCATTATTCTTTAGACAGAGAATGAACAGGGCACTTTAGATCCTATGCTCCAAAATGGGCAGATGGCAGCACATTTCGTGACCTGTAAATAGATTTTTAGAACTATGTTCTTTTAACCAGCCACCTGGCCATATGCACAAATTCTGTACAACAGTGGTAAAGCATTTTCTTCCCTTGTTCAATGACCTACTTGGCAGTTCAAAGGAAGAAAAGTATATTTAAAAAAAAACCTATTCCCTTCATTTGATCCTTTCTATGATTACAAGGACAGTGCATTGAGAGAAAAGCAAAAT